GACCGGCGGCGGCGAGCACACACTCAGGCTGAGCAGAAGAGGAGGGATGCCATCAAGGTGATTGGGGATGCCTGCACCTCAGCCAGCGCAGGAGGGCGCTGCACACTTCAGATCCACTCTGCCTTGACCCCGTCAGGCAGTCCCAAGCAGGCTTGGGGGCAGCTAGTCTAGGCCCTGGACATGAACTTCTCCCTCCTTCCCACTCCCTTTGAGTGAGTGAGCATGGAACTTGGTATCATGGAAGAAAAACTTTGTGCCCATTTGCCTTAACCCCTTAGTTAAGGAACCCATGTCCCCTGCTGTCTCCACAGAGAGGCTATGATGACCTGCAGACCATCGTTCCCACCTGTCAGCAGCAGGACTTCTCCATTGGCTCCCAAAAGCTCAGCAAGGCCATCGTTCTGCAGAAGAGTATGGCCAGGAGAGCACTGGAGGGCTTGGAGCCAAGGGGGCTGTGAAGGCTAGCGCCTCAGAGCCGCTTTTGGCCTGGCCCTGGTGGGGTGGTTGTAACAGGAGAGGTGGGGTCTGGGGGAAGGGGAGACACAATCAGCCTGGTCCTTCTGGTTGTGCCCACCCCCTCTTCCCTCCCCCACTCCAGCCATTGACTACATCCAGTTTTTGCACAAGGAGAAGAAAAAGCAGGAGGAGGAGGTATCCACGCTACGCAAGGACGTCATGGCCCTAAAGATCATGAAAGTGTAAGGGGGGTGCTGGGCTGGGGGAACCAGGGCTTCTGGTTCTGAGGGGACTCTGAGGCCCCTTCAGTTCACGCCCTTCCCTTTGTTCAAAGGCCACATCAGATAATACTCTCACTCTCTCATGTGGTAGGCAGGACTCTATCCCAACTGTAGCAGATACTCTGGAAACGCCTGTGGGATTAATGAAGGGAAGGCTGGAGAGGGTGGGTCACCACTTCTGACCTAGAAGCAGTACCTAGCTGATGTTGAATACCTCCCCAAGGCTCTCTGGGAATCTCCTTCCCAGGGGAGTACGTAGGGTAGCGCTGTTCTTCTTCCTGGGCCGGTGGAGCTGCTGCAGCCCCTTAGCCCTGGCCTGTTCGCTCTCAGGAACTATGAGCAGATTGTGAAGGCACACCAGGACAACCCCCATGAGGGGGAGGACCAGGTCTCTGACCAGGTGAAGTTCAACGTGTTTCAAGGCATCATGGACTCCCTCTTCCAGTCCTTCAATGCCTCTATCTCCGTGGCCAGCTTCCAGGAGCTGTCGGCCTGTGTCTTCAGCTGGATTGAGGAGCACTGTAAGCCGCAGGTATGGGGCAGCAGTGGACACGGTGTTGGGGGTCTTCCCTCAGGCACAGTGGCCCAAGCTGTTGTTTGTTCGGAGAGACAGGGTAGCAGGTTTTAGGTTTCTTGAGGATATTTCTACAACTTTCAGTATTCCTGTTTCCCCCTTTGCTTTCTAGCCCAGTTTTTCCTGTTAAGGTTTCATTTGGCAAGAAGGATTGGAGCACTCCCTAATGCAAGGCCTAGCTCTTGGCCTTTGTTTCACCCACATAGTGGCAAGTAATGGCAGCCTCAGGCATTCCTCCTCAGCCGCCCAGCAAGTAAGCCCCGATCACTTGCAGCAGACTTACTTGGGGTTTTTGGAAAGATTCCTGGCCCCCACCCCCAGGCCCACTAAAGTAGCTTTCCATGGGGTTTCTAATTATTATTTGTAATGGAGAGTGTGTTAATGGTTGCACTGAGTCTTCCGTTTTTGAGGCCTGGTTGCTTTTTCTGAGGCTTGACTTGTATCTGAGATTCTCACGTTTTTGTTTCCCAACATTTTTTTAAATGTAATTTTTAAAAGTTACACTCCATTTACACTTATTACAAAAAACATTGGCTACATTCCCCATGTTGTACAATACCTCCTTGCAGCCTTACACCCAGTAGTTTGTACCTCCCACTCCCCCACCCCGATATTGCCCTCAGCCCCACCCCCCACTGGTAACCACTAGTTCGGTCTCTGTATCTGTGAATCTGCTGCTTTTTTGTTATATTCACTAGTTTGTTGTATTTATTTAGATTCCACATATAAGTAATGTTATACACTTATATGTAGAATCTCTCTGACTTATTTCACTTAGCATAATGCTCTCCAAGTCCATCCATGTTGCTGCAGATGGCAAAATTTCATTTTTCTTTTTGGCTGAGGAGTATTCCATTGTGTGTGTGTGTGTGTATACCACATCTTCTTTATCCATTCATCTCGGTTTTTTGCAGGGTTTTTTTGGTACTTTTAAAAATTTTATTAAAGTACAGTTGGTTTACAATGTTGTGTTAATTTCTGCTGTACAGGAAAGTGACTCAGTTATACATACATATATTCTTTTTCATATTCTTTTCCATTATCGTTTGTCACAAGATATTGAATATAGTTCCCTGTGCTCTACGGTGGGACCTTGCTGTTTATGCATCCATCCTATATACAGAAGTTTGTCTCTGCTAATCCCAAACTCCCACTCCTTCCCTTCCCTACCTCCCCCACCCCTGCAGCCTCAAGGCTGTTCTCTGTGTCTGTGAGTCTGTTTCTGTTTCGTAGAGATGTTGATTTGTGTCATATTTAGACTCCACATATAAGTGATATCATATGGTATTTGTTTTTCTCTTTCTGATCTTTGCTTAGTATGATAATCTCTAGGTCCATCCATGTTGCTTCAAATGGCATTATTTCATTCTTTTAAGGCTGAGTAATATTACATTGTATATACATACACCACATTTTCTTCATCCATTCACCTGTTGATGGATGCTTAGGTTGCTTCCGTATCTTGGCAGTTGTAAATAATGCTGCTGGAACATTGGGTTGCGTATATCTTTTCGAATTAGTGTTTCTATTTTTTTTTGGATATATACCCGGTAGTGGAATTGCTGGATCATATGGTAGCTCTATTTTTAGTTTTTTGAGAAACCTCCATACTGTTTTCCACAGTGGCTGCACCAGTTTACATTCCCACCAACAGGGTGCAAGGGTCCCCTTTCCTCCACATTTGTTATTTGTGTTCTTTTTGATGATCACCATTCTCACAGACGTGAGGTGATATCTCATTGTGGTTTTTTGTTTTTCTGGCTGCGCTGGGTCCATTGCGGCATGCGGGTTCTTCTTCATTGCAGCGCATGGGCTCAAGCTCACGGGCTCAGCAGTTGTGGCGCTTGGGCTTAGTTGCCCTGTGGCATGTGAGATCTTAGTTCCCCGACCAGATCTTAACCGCGTCCTCTGCACTGGAAGGCGGATTCTTAACCACTGTGCCACCAGGGAAGCCCACCATACTGTTTTGATTACTGTAGCTTTGTAGTATAGTCTGAAGCCAGGGAGCATGATACCTCCAGCTCTGTTCTTTCTCAAGATTATTTTGCCTATTCGGGTTCTTTTGTCTTTCCATACAAATTTTAAAATTATTTGTTCTAGTTCTGTGAAAAATGCTATTGGTATTTTGACAGGGACTGCAATGAATCTGTAGATTGCCTTGGGTAGTATGGTCGTTGTAACAATATTGATTCTTCCAGTCAAAGAACACGGTATATCTTTCTGTCTGTTTGTGTCATCTTCAATTTCTTTCCGTCAGAGTACAAGTCTTTTACCTCCTTAGGTAGGTTTATTTTATTCTTTTTAATGTGATGGTAAATGGGATTGTTTTCTTAATTTTTCTTTGATACTTGAATGCAAGAGATTTCTGTACATTAATTTTATACCTGCACCTTTACCAAATGCATTGCTGAGCTCTAGTAGTTTTCTGCTGGCATCTTTAGGATTTTCCATGTTTAGTATTGTGTCGTCTGCTAACAGTGATATTTTACTTCTTCCTTTCCAATTTGGATTCCTTTTATTTCTCTGATTGCCATGGCTAGGGCTTCCAAAACTATGTTGAATAAAAGTGGTGAAAGTGGGCATCCTTGTCTTGTTTCTGATCTTAGAGGAAATGTTTTCAGCTGAAAGCATGTCCCAGCATTTTTACTGTGAAACACTAAACATACTGCAGCATTGAGAGAATTTTATAATGAACACTCATATATCCCCCCCCCCCAAAGTTTACCATTAACCTTTTTTGTATTTGCTTGATCACATAGTAATGCATCTCTCCATCCCTGACTGACTCCATCCTGTTTTGGGGGCATCTGCAAATTGTAGACATCAGTGCTTCCCAGGTTTTTTGTTTTAACTGCACTCTGAAGAGCACACGTGGCTCAGGCAGGCGTCGCTGAGCAGCTCTGTGCCCTCCGTGAGCATGATCTCTCTCTTCTCTGCTGCCCCTCAGACCCTGCGGGAGATTGTGACTGGTGTCCTACATCAGTTGAAGAACCAGCTTTACTGACCAGCTCTTGGAACCTGCAGAACAGCCAACAAGAGGCCTTGAGTCTCCTACTTGGCTGTGGAGCCACTGGCCTTATGAGATTGGACTGTGACACTGCACACCAGTCAGCTGCTTTCTCCTCAGTGTTTGGCTCCCCAGCTCCCCCCTCCCCCTCAGCCCCATCTTCAGTGGGGCTGGGGAGGGGGGAAGGTTATTATGAAAGCTTTGATTAATTTATTATACTGACCATAGATCTCAGACCTACCTAGTCTTTCCCCCTCCCCATAGAAGTCCTCGGGATGGGGTCTGCTCTGGGAACCCTAGAAAGCTCCTGGCCTCTCCCTTTGTCTAGGCCTCAGGTTTCTGCTCCCATTTGGTAACTACCGTTTGCCTGTTCTGGTCTCTCTGGCAACCTTTAGCCTAAGTCTGGCCACTGTGGCAGTCGTTGGATGGGAAGAAAGGAGGAAGGGAAAATACTCTCACAGCCATGAAGGGTGAAAGGTGGCCTCATGCCTAGGCTAGGGCTGCCTGGTCAGCCCAAGGTGAGGCCAGAGCTTTCTCTGGCCAGCTCAGGGCAGGGCTGCCAGGTTCCTGCCCTTGCCCCCTACTCTGGGTGGTGGAGGGAAGCAACCTCCTCACCCACTCCTGCCCTCTGTGTCCCCACAGGCAGTAGCACTGCACAGCAAAGTCAAATGTGACACAACACTACATGTTAAATTTTTTAATTTTTCTAAACACCAACAATGCAATTTTGCTAAAGTTACAATTTTGGAAAACTGGTCTCAAGACCACTCCCAGGCTTTCTGTCAAGTGTATCTGGGTCTCCACCATCTCAGTGCTGCCTGCATTTCTCCCAGGACTTAGGGTGGGGTGAAGGTGGGTAGAGAAGATTTTCTAAAGGTCTCCTGGAGTGTAGAGCCCAGGAGAGTCCTGGGTGAGGCCCTGGGCTCCTTAAATGCTGTGCATAGTAGCCTCTCCCTGCCCTTGTCCCCCAAGCTCTCTTTTGCCATCCTCAGGTTTGATATCTGGGAGGTTTGATTATCCAGAGGAAATTAAATATTTTTATATCAAATTATATTACAATAAATATTGCCAAATGCTTTCCTTTTGCATTGTTCCCCATCTAACTGTTAAGTTCAGGCAGTCAAAACGTGGATGACGAAATGTGTGAAACCATCCTCTCTGGGCCACCAGTGCTCCACCCAGTACTTTGGTGTGTGCCCAAAAGCGGACAGCAGCAGGAACAACAAAAAAGCTGACCTAAACAAGGCAGCCAGTCCAGGACATCTGTGTTCCCAGGCCTGCCGGAGGGCTTCAGGGATCTGGGAGCTTGAGGTTGTAATCTTCATCTGTCTCTATCCCAACTTCCTCCTGCGGGGGGGGGGGGGGGGGGGGGGGGGGGGGCAGCAAGACAAGTGAATGAGACCTCCCTGGACGCAGGCCCCAGGGGAGCAAGGAAGGGAGAACACCACTTACAAAAAACTGCTTCTTGCTCTTGGGGTATCCTTCAAGGATTGCATCAGACAGCTCTGTTGCCTGACAAGAAACAAAACCGCCCCCTTTCAGATGGGCAGTACTTGGCTTGCCTGACGGGTTCATGATACCCCCGGTGGCTGCCGCTGTCCAGGGCCTGCCTAGAGTTCCCCCGCACTTACCATCCTCTTGCGCTTCCTCCACTCCTTGCAGTACCTCTGCCTCTCTCTGTACACCTAGACAGGGAAACAGGTTCCTCTGACCCCCTCGGCCCCACAGCAGCCGCTGGGGTCGACACTCCTCACTTTGAACCTGCACAGGCAGCCCTCCCTGCTCCCCACCCCCTCCCCACCCACCTGCTCTTTCTCTTCTGGAGTCACGTGGTTGGTGGCCTCTTTGATGTTCTTCAGTCTCTCTGTGTAGCCAGCACATTCCTTCTTTAACTCCTGGATCTCTTTCTGCATCTCCGGTGTGGTCAGGGCACTAGCTAACTCCTTCAGCTCTAAAACCACATCCCCCGGAGAGGTCACTGGCTACCCTGATGTAGGAGACCAGGCCTCCACCTTGCTCTGGGCTCTATACACAGGGTCCAGAATGGGTCCCATATTCTGGAAATCCTCAAGAGAGATAAAGGCTTACAGAATTGTCGGTTTATTCTAGTTTTCTTTCCTTCCCCATCTACAAATAGTTGAGGGGAATGAGTCCGAGTAGACTGTTAGCTGTAGTCAGTTAAAGCAGCAGAGTAAAGGGAAGTGTGGGAACCGTGTACTGGTACTCACAGCAGGGAAGGCAAATGCCCGTCTTGCCCACTTGTCTTCAAAAGCCATTAGTTGTTAGACATTGATTTTAAGGTAATGCCTATGACAGCCCAGCAAAGGGATCTTTGCTGCAAGAAGACAACACTGCAGTCAACAAACCCTTCACTTGGTAATTCCTGACCTCGGACTGACCCTGACACTAGGGGTACCTTCTGGGGGTTGCCCAGTCCTACCAGCCTCCATGTGGCGGCAGCCCTGCTGCAATCTCTGCACCTTAGCAGTGAGGGCCACGATTTTGGCATCCAGGACTTGGAGGTCAGCATCACTGACCATGTCAAATTGTTCCTGCCAGAGACAAAAGGATAAATAGAAGCAGGCTGATGGGAGAAGCAAGAAGGGAACCCACGTTTGGGAAGCCCACGTTCATACACACTCGCGAATCTGGGCCTGGGAAGACAGTGAGAGGGTACCTTCGAGCAGTCACTCAGTTCAGTACCAGTCCACTCAAAAAGCTGTAAAAGAACAAGTTGAAACCTGATAATCGTCCTCAAGGGGTTTTGAGGTGCAGGATACTGAATAACAGGACAGAAATATCTTTCAGGTTACCGGCAAAACCACTCACTGGGCTGAAGGAGTAAAGGAACATTCTTCTCAAGGTGATGATACCTAATTATGGGTTTCCACAATAGGAAGAATCTGGACAGGTGAAGAGGCATGGTGGGAGGTATTTAGATAAAGGATACCAGTGAAGTCTGAGGACCCTCTCCCATGAGACCAGCAGCTAGAAAAGGCCTGTGCTGGGGCTCAGTGGGGTCTTGTCAGTGGTGATGGGAAGCAGAATGGAAAGGATGGGAATACCAGCCCAGGCAGTTTGGACTCTACATTCAGGTGAGGTAAACCATTAGGGCAGGAGGCAGCAAACTACAGCCTGTAGGCCAAATCCTGCCAGATGCATGTTTTTGAAAAAAACTTATGGAAACGTAGCCACATCCACTTGCTTACATATTGTCCATGGCTGGTTTTGCTCTACAGTGGCAGACTTGAGTACTAGTGACAGTTGTGTAACTGGGACAAGAGACCATCTAACCTGCAAAGCATAAAAATATTAACTGGCCCTTTACAGAAAAAAAAAAAATCTGCCAACTTCTTTAAGGGATCTTCAATAGAGCAGTAATATAATGAAACCTATTTTAGGATAATTAGCCTTGACGGTGGCTGTTAAATCCTGTGGGGTTACTGAGTAAAGGAAGATGAGAAATGGGGTCTGCCCCAGAACAGCTTCAGTTTTGTGAGGGAGACAAGTGAAAAGACAATTACAATAGAGTGTGCCTCAAAAGAGGTAAGTGCCCGAAGAAGGCAGTTAGCTCACAGCATTCAGGGAAGGTTTCTGGAGGTGATGCCTGCGTGAAATCCTAAGGGATGAGTAAGAGTTAGCCGGGCAAAGGGAAAGAAGGGACTCAAAAACTCTGAGCAGAGGAAGGACAATGAGCAAAGGCCACAGGAGTAAAACACATCTAAATGGTCTAGTATTGATGAATGGAGAAATAACAGGGACAGGAGAGGCTAGAGGCAGGCTGGGGCCAGGTCTCCAAGTGCCTTTTATCTGTTCTAGGGAGCACTAGAGTTTTCAGTAGGGAAACAGCATGACTAGATTTGTACGTACATAGATTATTCTGGCTGCAATGTTTCAGATATGTTTAAGGAGGCCAGGAGTTGGGAGGATATTGCAGTAGGTGAGGAGCACCTAAACTAGAGCAGTGGTGGCAGCTGGAAAAGGAGAGGATGGATTCAAGAAGAGGAAAACAACTGGACTTGATGGCTGACTGGGCACGTGAAATAAGGGAAGTTAAGAATGATTCCCCGGGACTTCCCTGGTGGCGCAGTGGTTAAGAATCTGCCTAACAATGCAGGGGACACAGGTTTGATCCCTGGTCCAGGAAGATCCAACGTGCCACGACTACTGAGCCTACGTGCTGCAACTACTTAAGTCCACGCACCTAGAGCCTGTGCTCCGCAACAAGAGAAGCCACCGCAATGAGAAGCCCACACACCGAAACGAAGAGTAGCCCCCACTCGCCGCAACTAGAGAAAGCCCGCACGCAGCAACGAAGACCCAATTCAGAAATAAGTAAACGAGTGAATGAATGACTCCAGGAACATCCCTGGTGGTCCAGTGGTTAAGAATCCGCCTTCCCATGGACATATATACACTACCAAACGTAAGGTAGATAGCTAGTGGGAAGCAGCTGCATAGCAGCTCGGTGCTTTGTGACCGCCTGGAGGGGTGGGATAGGGAGGGTGGGAGGGTGGGTGGGTGGGAGGGAGGGAGACGCAAGAGGGAAGAGATATGGGAACATATGTATATGTATAACTGATTCACTTTGTTATAAGGCAGAAACTAACACACCATTGTAAAGCAATTATACCCCAATAAAGATGTTAAAAAAAAAAGATTAATAAAATATACTCATTTTCTTCAAAAAAAAAAAAAGAATCCGCCTTCCAATGCAGGGGACGGGGGTTCGATCCCTGGTCAGGGAACTAAGATCCCACGTGCGGGTGGGCGGGGGGCAATTAAGCCCCCCACCGCAACTAAGACCCAATGCAGCCAAAATAAACAAATAATAATAATAATAAAAAAGAATGACTCCCCGGTCTCTGGCCTGGGTGAAGAGTGATTCCATTAAGGGAGAAGAATACAAGAGGAGCCAGTTTCGGGGAGAGATGAGGCATTCCACTTTGGCAATATTGATTCTGAATGGACTGAGAAGCATCCAGGTGAGGGGGGTCTGGGCTGGAGATACAAAGTTAATGTCACATGTGTTTACGGAAGGGGGTGGAGACAGAAGGAAAATAATTTGGAAGACGGTGGTTCTCATCTAGATGATTGGGAATAAGAACTTCCAAGGATAAATGGACCTCGATAGCAACAACTCAGGATCTTCTGTCCTCTATCATATTTCAAGTCTGGAAATCTCGTGAAGTTTGGATGACGGCAAAAGGGGTCCACACTTTGACTTAAAGGCTGGCTGGGACCCTTTTATTGGCCTAAGACCGGTGAATTTCACAGGATGCTTCAATTCTCCCAAAGAGAGTTCATACCAGGGACTGATTCACCTAATGCCGGACTCTCACACACGTGCTAATCTGCACGTTTCCCTCACCTGGTCAGCAAAGTATATTTTCTGCTTGCCGTACATCTTCTCTTTGATCTTGCCTTGTTGGGCCAGCTGGTCCAGCGCCTTCACCACCGCCTGGCAGAGGGGAGGGGGCGGAGAAGTCGGGGGAGTGACTTCGGGCCGGGCTGGAGAATGTCACCAATGAGGCGGGAAGCGCCCGAAGAGCCTTAGGAAGCCCAAGGCTAGAATGGCAGCCTCGGGAGGGGAGGAATCCAGGCTGATTCAAGGGGTCCCAGGGGAGGAATCCCAGGAGAGGGTCCTCACCGCCTTGCCCAGTCCGTGTTCCCGCTGCAGGTTCCCGAACACGTCCTGGGCGCTGTAGGGCCGGTTCTGTTCCTGTAGGTACCTCAGCAGGATCCCGGAGGCTACGGAGAGAGACGAGGCGGGGAGGGGTTCCCTCAACCGACCCCTGCCCGCCCTTCTCCCAGGTCTCCCGGCGCCCACGGCCGTTACCTCCCGTCACGGCTTCCGCCCGGCCTTTACTCATGTCCTTTACCGCCACAAAAACTCCGAAAGCCGGAAGTTGCAGTTGCTCGGGGCAACAGCTCCTTCCGGCGCTGAGCCGGGCTGGCCTCAAGTGGTGATTGGCGGAGGGAAGCCTTCGCGAGGGGCGGAGCAGCCCTTCCCGGACACCGTGGTTCAGCTCGGCCGGGAACTCGGGCACCTACGTCTCGCCGGCCGGGTCCCGGTCTCTGCCGGGGAGGCGGGGCGCGCGCTTCGAACCTCTCACTTACTCCTCTCGGAACCAGGGCTGTAGGGAATCACGCGCTGATGTTTCGGGACCCAGTTCTAGCGGCCGCTGAGCACTCGTGACCTTGAATTGGGCTGAGTATTCGAACGGAAAGAAACCTCAGCATCACCTCCCGCTGGGCAAGCGACTTGCTCAAGGTCACAGGGCTAGTTACCTACGGACGTGTCCCCTCCCACGGCCCAAACCTTTCAGTCGGTTTTTCTCATTTTTTGTAAAACGGCAACAAGAGGTGTTTGCAGGAGGGGAGTTATGAAGACAATAGAAGGGGTAAGCGCCCTGGAAAGAATAACGCTGCCTTAATTTGCCCGTTACCGAGCTTCGCACACAGGGGGCGCTCAGCACATGCTGTGGTTGAAGGTAGGGTTGGGAGGGGGCTGCTCTTAAGCCACAATGCTTGTAGAAGTTTCCTCTTGGCCGAGACAATCTTATGGCAACACCTGGCAGGTGCTTTCCACTCCTGCCCACATCGGCCAATGGGACAAAGCCTGAAATAAGTATTTCTAGTTTCTGAGGTCAGCTGAAGGCCAAAGAGCAGCTGTTGAGTTGCAGGTTCAAACAATCCAGAGGGCCATGGTGCTAATGTTTAAAGCTTCTATTACCTAAAATCTCATTAGCCATTGAAACCTGTGCTTGTCTTCACACGTTTAGGGGACAATATTAAGAATTAGAAATGACGGAACTGCAGGCTAGATGCCAGCCGAAAGTGCCGGTTCTGCTCACATCTGGGCTCTCCTGGAGAGGGGAAGTAGCCTCCCACCATGGTGATTGTTCTGGCCATCACAGAAGGAAAAACAGGGATGGGCAGGTGGGTCCCTCACACATGGGCTTCCTCTTTTGAGGCTATCACCTCCTCAAATTAATATCATCTCAGATTAACAAGACCTATCAAAGGATAAGGCACCATTCAACATCAGTCTCTTAAAAGATTGTTCTCATACAAGATTTATTCCCCAGCACCCCTCCCTCCCTCATCCCCATCCCAATTCACAGTGGAGGACTAAGGAGATTCAGAGCAGGATCCGCAGGTACGAGAAACACCTTCCGAAGATTTTGCTCTCCTTCCTTCCCTCCCTCTTGCCAATTCCCAAGGCCCGAAGCTAAACACACTCATGCAAACACACAAAGTCCCACTCCTTTCCCACACCTGTTTTTTCCACATCAGAGCTCACTTGTAAGACATCTGGGCTCTGGGAAGAGAGAAGGTATCCAAAGTCTGTTTGAGAACACTAAAGTGGGGAGAGGCCGTTATCCTAACCTTCCACAAAGGGAAGTGACTATGAATCAGACACCTAGCTCTTCTCCCTTCTCACCGTAGACTATTTTCACTCCTTGGCCTCTACCTTGTCCATCAACCAAGAGCAAACATGTTAGCACACTCCCACCTGCAGCACGTGAAAATGGGCTCTGTCCAACATCCCTCACCCAGCTACAGGGGTGTTGGGGGAGTGGTCCCTGAGGATCAGCAAAGGGTTAATGCAGAGGGAAAGAGGACAGAAGAGTTCAGCTTGAGCTCTGATTGGGGAGGCACAGGTTTAGAACTAATGACCTTTTAAAGTTTTTGTCTCACATGATTTTATCAGGGGCAGTGAAACAGATACCCTTTACTGGGGTCTCTGCTGATTATAGACACATTCTTGCTAACTGGGCTCATCCTTAAAAGAAGCCCTGCCAAACTGGGAAGGAGTTGAAAACAAAATTATTAAAGGAGCTGAACAAGGAGTAAGAAGAGCTGGTGCAAGAAGAGCTGGTGGCTCCTGGGATGAATGCCACTGAGCCATTTGTAAAGTGCTACTCTGACATTGCCCATGTGGGATTATTGCTTCTCCAAAGGAGGAGCAGGGGAAGGAACAGGAACATGGAAATGGGTATGGTATGGTATTGCTTTGCTCACTGCTCAGGCTGATGGGCAAATGGAGCCAGGGGTTAGCAGCACCAAAAATAACCAGGCAGCTCCAAAAGATTCAGTGAGACCATGAGATATAGAGGCACTCACCCTCCCAGCCAGCTGACCCCATGGCCCAAAGTAATGTAGAAGAGGCCCACCCCCACCTCATGTTCACATTCATAAATTTCACAAGCAATATTTTGGAGCACTGGAGGTTAGGCCTCAAGAAATGAGGACAGGCTGGGGCAGAGGGAACAGGCCTGCTCTGCAGAACCAAAGGACAAGCTTGCTTAGAAAAAGGCAAATCAAAGCATGGCTTAGCAAAAGAGGAAGATGACAGTGTAACTCTCCCAGCTGCCTGACTTGGAGCTCTCGGGAGATGATAAAGGGAGGAAGGAAGGAAGGGATCTATCACTGAGGGCTTCTGAGCACCCATACTTAGAAGCACACAGCAGCATCCCCTCAAAAGGGAACCAATACCCCTGACTACTTTGTTCCCCAGAAATACCACCATCCTGATGGAGAGAAGTGTCCCTCAGGGGAGCACATTCTCACATCAGTGACTTGAGCTCAGAAGTCAGTGTCCAGCTGGTGGCAGAGGAGTGAGTGTCCTCTCTCATCAGGCCTCTGCGCATCTGCCAGGCTACTGAGCATACATATATAATTCAGGGGCTGGGACCTGGGTTCTTCCCTTGCCCCTTCACCTTAAGTGGAATGGGGAGCAAAAAAAACCTAAACCACAATGACCCCCAAGGGGAGTCTCTGCCTCAGTGGCTCCTGGAACTGGCAGGGTCCAGCTGATTCAGCTCCGACTGGTCCAGAAGTTCAAAGTCATCCCCCTCAGCATCAGTGTCCAGGTCTGAACTGGGGGCCCGGAGGACACCTCTTGTGGCTCTCCGGGGAGGTAGGCCAGCAGGGCCTGGCTGGGAGGCCCCTGACAGGGCCAGCTGGATCATGCCCTGGGAGACCAGGCTAGCAAGGTTGCTGGTGAGATTGGATCCTGCAGGCAGGGCGCCAAGCAAAAGCTCCGGCAGTGCAGCCTCGTCCCGGCTGGCAGGGGGGCCCTGAGGCTCCTCGGCCCCTGGTGGGGAACGGTACATCAAGCTGGGCATCCCGATGCTGGTATCGTCCTCATCATCCAGGCCAGCAGGATCCACATTAATGGAAGGGAAGTCTGGAAGGTCTCTGGCAAAGGATTCCTCTGGATCACTGTGACCATCTAGGTCTGGGAGAACAGAGGAGTGTCTGAGACATGGCAACTGCCTGGCCTTCCTATGCCCTAGCTCCACCAAGTCATCTCCAAGTAACCAGATGTTTCCACCCTGGATTTCTGGCACCGGTCAGCTTTCCCCCTCCACTTATAGACTGCTGTGACCTCTACTGGCCAGAGAACTCCCCCTTTCTTCCTCTGCTATGTCCCCCATAAGCCGAGAATCTGAGGCTACTAAGGGACTGAGGATTTCTAGGAGAGCAGCAGTGCCACCTGGCTGGAGCCATACCCCTAAAGCTGCTCTGCCACCTGATCCACAGCTCAGAAAACAGGAAAAGCGGGGGCAGTATCCCCGCTGCCCAGGAAGCTGAGAGGCAACAGTCAGGGCCAATATCAACTTGGGTCCAAGGTTCCTCTACCTTCAGAGCCTTCTGTTAGAGGTGTCTGGCCCCGTGAAAGATTGAATGTGCCGTTGTCTGTACAGGAGACCTCAGCATCCGAGTGCTCAGAGTCTGTGATGGCCAATTCCCTGGCAACAGTAGAATCATCCAGCTTAGGAAAAGAAAAGACCAACACGCCTGAAGAGATGGTGCCATTAGAAACGAGCGCAGTTCCCTAGTTACAGCTTCACCAGTGAGCTGGCCCTAAAGGCTACCTTAAGGCCAACAGTGTAACCAGGCATGCATGGGGACTTGAGTCAAAATCTTGACCCCTTTTAGGCTGCTCCCCCAGGGAAAACACCCTTTTTCATCAGTCTTGAGCACAGGAAGGAAAGCAGTCTTGTGTGTCAACCAGCCACTTACTCTTAAGCAAATAATTGATCCAGAGAATACTTTTCACAAGTGGCCAGGAGGATACACACATTGCCTGACCTAAGGCAAGCTGGGCTGTTTAAAAAATGATCACGCCAGTTGCAGAAGTTCTGCCATGATGGCAGGGGTTAAAAGGAGGCATGGAAGAGGGTGTGCTGGTCACCATGCTCAAACTGAGATTCTACATACAAAGTCCCAATATAAAACTAGCTTCTCTCCTCACTGCTCTTGGGGCAGTGAGGTCCTTGGAAAAGGGCAAGAAGCTGGGTCCCTGGAGAGCCCACAGGGAGCTTGAAAACCTGGTTACTGTCTAAACATGAGTGCCAGATGGTTAAAAAGGAGCTAAAAAAAACTGGGCAGCGATGCAGCTCCCACACCCAAGATACCTGAGGACAGAAGGCAGCAAGCTCCTCTTCACTGTCACTGTGGTTGTCCCCAGCACGTTCTGGGTGTAGACCTCTGCGGCGCACTATGTGGAAAGAGCAAAAACGCCTTGACACCTTCCCTTGAGGGGAAACCCCTGTCCCCTTTGGATTTCAAAGGCATAAAATCAGAACACGAGAATGAACCCCCTAAGCCTACATAACAACGCCTGAGGGAGGAGCTGCTGAGCCTAAGTGGCAAGGTAAGCTGATAACACAGGAGAAAGATCTCTCTTCCAACATCCCTCCCTTTTTGTTCTGGTCAGATGATCAACTACCAGGCTTGTCAACAACTCTCAGGATCAGCTAGGGACAGACCAGATGTCAATGTGTAAAGCGGACACTGTCACAGAGAGGGCAAAGGGAGATGCCCCACCTGGGCTGAATCAGCCTTTTGAGGACTGGTACTATTCAACTGGCTGCGTTAGGGGGAGCTGGGCCTTGGTGCCCATGTGCAGGGCTCTTAGAAGGCCAGGGTTTAATGAAAACCCAACCTGACCATACCATAGAAGA